AAAGATTATGGGATGACATTCTTTTTGGATAATGGTGGGAGGTTTTGTTTGTTTTGGTCTCTCCCTTCTATGTAATCCAAGGTCTTAACCCAACTTTTTCTTTTCTTTCTCCACTACTCCCAGATGATACCATCCAATCTCATGATTTTAAGCACCATCTACACCTTGATGACTCCCAATTTATATCTACATCTCAGACTTCTTCAATTGCCTGCTCAGCATCTCCATCCAGATGTCTATGGGCATTTCAAACATAACTAGCTCCAGCTCCTACTCCTTTCCTCCTACACAAACCCTCAAAACTATTTTCCTCTAGTCTTTTCCATCCCAGGAGATGGAAACTCTATCATTCCAATAGCTTGGGTCAAAGCTCCTGGAGCCATTCTTTGGAGGGAGTGGTGCAGGTGGTACTGGGGATTTAACACAGGGGTGCTTGACCATGGAGTCATATCCCCAGCCCTTTTTTATTTTTTGAGATAGGGTCTTGCTAAGTTGCTCAGGACCTAAGTTGCTGAGGCTAGTCTAGAACTTGAGATCCTCCTGCCTCAGCTTCCCGAGCCACTGGGATTACAGTACTAAAGTCATTTTTGATTCCTCTCTTCTCATAACACTCATCTGAGTTCATCAATAGATCCTTGGCTGTACCTTCAAAATACATCCAGAGCTCTTCTATTTCATACCCATTGCTGCTGCTGCTGCTGCTGCTGCTGCTGCTGCTGCTGCTGCTCTGGTCAGAGAAACCACATCTCTTGTCTAAATGGTAGAACTCTCCCAACTGCCTCTATCCTTGCTGCTCCACAGGCTACTCATCATATGGCAGCCAGAGTGACTCTGTTGAAAAAGTTACTGAAGTCATAACATGCCTTTGCTCAAACCTTCAATTGGCTTCCCATTTCACTCAAAGTGAAAGCCAAAGTCCTTATAAGGCCCCTAAGCCCTAAAAATTGGGCTCATATTTTCTCTTGACCTCTTCCCTACTACTCTTAGCCACACTCATTCTCCCCAGCCTCCCTTGCCTTGCTGGTCCTCCACTGTGCCTGCAGTTAACTACCTCAGGTCTTTCGCATTTCATACCCCTCTAGGAATATTTTTTTAAAGCATCCACATCCCTGCATTCCCTCACTCCCTTTAGGTCCCTGCCTAGCTGAAACCACAGCAAAGAGGGCTTTCTTGGCTGTCTTCCACAGATCACATAAACCACCTTTGACAAAATCATGTCATATTTCTCTCTGTTCCTTCACCTAGCTTCAAACGTCCTCATTATACATTATATGGTCATTTATTTTTTATGGTCCATCTCCTCCACCAACATGTAAATCCCTTCAGGGCAGGGACTTTGTCAAGTTTGTTTACTGTTCCAAACCAGTATCTTAATGCCTAGCACACAGTAGGAATAAGCAAGTGTTTGTTGAAGAAATCCTTAAAGTCTGAATAATTCATTTTAGGACAATTCAAAGTTAACATACTGTACACAGTGGTCAGTAAACTCATCAAATGCAGTACTACCACTCTAAGATATAATATAAAGGAAAACTTTAAATCTCAAAATAAGACTAAAATCATTCCATTAATGACAGAGCTATGGTTGGTTTTAGGTGTTCATTGAGACCTTCTTAGCCACTAAAAATGACATCAAGCCAATAACCCCTGCCCTTTCACAAGGCACTCCAATACAGTCAACACCAGTAGGCGCATCTTCTCCAGAATCATTGGTGTGCTTTATGTCCTATCTAGAGTGTTGTTTGGATGAAAAAGATCTGTATTTTATATATATATATATATATATATATATATATATATATATAT